TTACAAATATGACCTCTAGGTATTGCAAAAGGCCACTGCCTTTGCAGACCTGTAGAAGGAACAGGATTCTTCAGCTTTAAAGTGTTAGGCAGAAATGGGAGCACATACCTCTTCCTGCAGATAAATATATCTAATCAGCTCCACATGTCACTTCTGACATCAATATTAAGTGGTGTGCAGAGCTTCCATTTGAATATGCCATTGAAACACTGTTAGGAGAAATTGTGCTGTGGACACCATGAATTGATTCTGCCCAATTTGTTTTCTTCATTGGAATTCCCAGACCCTTCCCAAAGCTGTTCTCTTACCGATCTTCCTTGCCTGCCATCCTGTAGTTATTTGTGTTTTTTCCCAATTTCATGGCAGGATATGGCAGTTTGTGAGTTCAACCTTTTGGGCTCTGGCTTGCTTCTCCAGGTTTTGGGCATGTGCTTGGTTAGGGCTTCGATTCATTTTGAATTAGGCATTGGCTTTGGTTGAGCTAGAGGCTGTGGAGTGTTGGGCATCAGATCAAGTGGACGTGAGAGAACATAATGGAAAACAAAGGAGGGAAAGGCTGACATATTTAGGATCTGTGAGATGGAAGCATTGGAGTAGATATTATTCTTTTCACCAATTCAGGGTAATTGCCAATGTGCTGATTATGAATTCTCTGTATTTTATTGTGTTAGCTGTGAGTCTGAGATTACATACAATGCTCTCTTGTTTGTATGAATTCATGCTCCTCCTCTTCTGCACTGTTTGTATCAACAAAAATTATGACATTTTCAGACTATTGGTCAAAACCTTGCATTTTCCCATGCTGAGCTTACAATTGTGGCAGACCTGCAGACCCCAATTATCACAGTGGGTCAAAGGACAATGCTAATGGATAAGAATGATACTATGAGTAGTCATTACGCACGATCCTCCTTGCAACGTCTCTTTTTACCTCTTAGATGCCACATATATTTACTGTGTTGAGGCACAAGAATACTACAAGTAATACCAAATGTTCTATAGCCAGAGTTCCCCAAAAATGGCATTGAAAAACTGAATGTTGTCACAGTAAATGCTACTGAAGATGCAGGAGGAGATGCCAAGAATGAAGGAAAAATGTTATTTTCCTAAAATTCGTCAGAAAGTTCAGCTTTGAACTGGCAGATAACATTTTCTGCAATAATTTCAACTGATTTGTCATAATTATTACCGTGGTTTTAATCTGGCTCTGCACAGTTTTCTGACTCACAGCATGACTTAATCTCTATTCCTGTACTGCTCTCACTGCCATAAAATGTGAGCATCCATACGTCTTCCCTCACTTTAATTAAAGAAAGAATTCTTATCCTCAAATGCGGGTAGTGAGTAAAACACATCCAGCTCTGCATGTCATGCTTAAGTGTGTGTGTTTGTGTGTGTGTGTTTAATTACACAGGTGTCTGGTATTAAGTGCAATCTCATTCTAGCATTTAAGTGATCAACCTAAGTGACTTGGAATGGATCTTAGATACACTCAGTGTTGAGAGAGAACTTAAATACCTTCATGAACTGGGGCATGATTCAGTTTCACTCACAAAATTGTTGTTATCTAGAGAAAATGTCTTCCTTTTTTCTTGTTCAAGTTGTGGGGATAATGACCTGTTCCTACTGGTAGCAGAATCAGCACAAAATCTGTGTTCTTGTGATAAGCTTACTGTAGTAAGCTGGTAAAACCTTCCTTGTTTTCTTTAGATAATTCTCAACGTTTGTCTCATTATTAGAGATTGAACCCAGGATGGTTCACCATGCTAGTGCTCAGCAGATATTTTTCAGGTGAGAACTCAAACTGGTTTTGCAGTAGCATTTATCCACATTTTTACTGATGCCCCCAAATCCCAGAGATGAGGCAGAAAGATGGAACCCTTGACTTGCTCCATGTCATGGAGATAACTCCTAACAGTATTTGTAACTCTTCTGATATTCTCAGGGCTATTTCCTGAAATGTCTTTAGATGCTTGGCACTTTCATCTAGAGCCTTAAAATATATTTATATATCAATTCAGATAGTAGTGCCAGTAAACTGTGATAGGAGGTGGCAGCCTGCTGCCCTGTGGGTTCAGTTGATCTGTAAGGCAGCTGGTGGACTTGCAAGCGTTTTCCTGGAAGCAAGGCTGGCCTGGCTGGCTCTGGTGTTGTAAGAAGATGCAGAGGGGTCAGGAGGGTGCATCAGCTCAGGTAGAGCATCAGACAAAGGCCTGACCCTGGACAATTGCCCAGAGATATAAAAGTGCCCATTAGATGTAAAGAATTTCTCCCCTTCTTGGCGAGTGAGCCAGAACCATTACAGGAAATGAATGTGTGACAAACAGCGTCAGTAGAACACTGAAACAGTCCTTGAAATAACAACAGCTTTCATGCATAAATGCAGTGTGGTATTGCTTAAAAACAGAAGTAATGGCAAGAGGATGATACCAAGGAGTTTATTTTTATCCAGGACTGTAGTTGATAGGGGTGTAAGGGCTTTAAACTAAAAGAGGGTAGGTTTAGATTTAATGCGAGCAACAAATTCATTATGAGGGCAGTGAGGCGCTGGCATAGGCTTCTCAGAGAGCTGGGGTGCCCCATCCCTGGCTGGGTTGGATGGGGTTTTGGGGAACATGATCTTGTAGGCAGTAGTCCTGCTTGTGTCAGAAAGTTGGAACTTGGATGGTCTTAGGGTCTTTTCCAACACAAAATAATCCACAATTCTGTTTTTCATTACTACTTATTTTTTAATCCCAAGTGAAACAGGCTGTTTAAAAAAAAAAGAAAAAAAAAAAAAGGCTGGATTAAAAAACTAAGCTCTAAGTTAAGGGTAAAATGTTATGATATCTGGTATTCCCTGCGAGCAGTTAAAGGGTTGGAGAGAAAGTGTTCACAATGTTAGCTAAATTAAGCAGTTATCGATTACTAATAGATATTCTGCTCTGATTGGATTATTTAATTTTTTTAAGCGCTCCGAATTCATTATGGGGTGCTCTCAGTGTGAGTGGCAATAGTGAAAGATTTATGCTCTGTAGCATGCTGGCTGTGCTGCCAGCAAAGTAAACAGCACTTATAAGATTTGGGCATGCAACTCCATTTAATGAGAATATCATCTTTTAGGGCACGGATTTGTTCGTGTAAGCAAATAGGCCAAGCATATCTCTATTTGTTATAGAAATTAATATACAAAAGAAAGTGTCTTTATGTAGCTGTGTGGACAAGAACTATTATGTCTGTGTCCCTGTCTGTGTCACTTCACCGTGACGTTAGTGGCTCAGAGAAGTGGCAGTAAAGCTCTGTGGCACCATGTGGGTGTGTGAGATGGGGAACAAAACCCAACAGTCCTGAAAAAAGAACTCATGTACTGTGTCACTGTGTGTCTTTCTACTGTTAATGCTCTCCTCCTTAGTGAGCACTAGACGATGTGCACAGCACACAACGCCTAGCTGTAAACAGAGGTTAAAATCAGTAAAGACCGAAACACTGTGTGGTATTTGATGATGAAGTTAAATTGGATGCTTGTAAGAAGCACAACAGCTATGCCATATTGCTCTGTGGATGCTGTTATCTGCATATGTGTTCATTTTTCTTAATGCTAAAATAATGCTGCAAACATACAGTGAAAAGGAAAATAATGTCAGATTTGTAATCTGTTAGAGAATGCTGCTCCTTTTGCCACAACCGTGGCACAAAGCAAGAGCTTCCTCACCACACAGCAAGGATGGGGAAGGATCATGAGGTCCAGCTGTTGCCCTGCTGCATAGACAGGTTAAGACTGAGCACACGTTTGCCTGTTTTAGGGCACTTGAGAACTCTGAGCTCATGCAGTTAGCTGTCCATCATTCTACCCATGCTACATAATGCACCTTATGTTATGTAAGTTATCTCTCTTTTAAAGTGATTTTATTTAATTATGTCACTGCTGTTGTACGTTGGCTAGTAAGACTGTATTCTTGTTTCCTTCCTGGATTATTACATTTCTCAAGAGTTTAAAATTCAGACAGTATAAAATTATGCCAGTTGAGCTTTTCTTTCTTACTATAAAACATTCTTTAAAAATTTTAATGATGGAAAATAAAGTAAACTTTAAAAATCTGCTGATTTTTAAGACCTTTTCTTGTCTTCCGAGTGTTGCCTAACAGATCATTCCCAAGTAATTATGATGTGAAAAATGTAGGACCTTTTTGGTTCAGACATACATAGCAGGTGCAAAGTCAGTTTAAAAAAAAAAATTAATTGGTTTGAGATAGTAGCAGAAAATGATTTTCCTTCATTTGCAGAATCAAAATTAAGGTATCTCAGCTATTAAATTTGGGAAAGGATTGCGTATTTCAGTACTGCAGTTACTCATGTATGAAATACAGAAAAATGTTAATTGAGGCAGGGTTGTGAAGGGAAATTAGTTGCAAGTGGACTGCAGATGAGTAAAGGGATTCTTAGGATGTTGCACCTCAGCCATACTTTGAGGTTAATTCATTAAAGATAATTGGAACGTTAAATAGTTTCCTATAAGGAATTGCTGCTACAGTGGTCTGACACTTCTGGTCTGATTGAATCAAATGCTAATTACTAATATTCAGATTTATGCTATGCTTATTTATGGACTGGCTACTCTGATTACTTCCTTGACTGCTGGTAATTTTTCTGTCAAGGGTAACAGCCCTTCAGGCACCTGAAAATAAGGGCTGGAATGAGGAACCTTTGGCAGAGGAACTGCATGTTTCTGTCCTCTCCATATCTACTAAATCTGCATTAAAAATAGGAGTGGTTCAGTGTTTTGTGTTTTGTAGCTGATGAAATCCTTGCCAGTAACTTCAGAATAAATGCAACGTTCTCAGTGTAGTTCTGTGAATAGGCATGGCAGCTTCTTTCAACCGCTGCACTCGAGCAGTTCAAACAGATGGGCTCAAAAGGTAGAAAAAAAGAAAAAAGAAAAAAAGAAAAAAAAAGCAAATTGGACAGAAGTGAGAAGAAAAGTATAGCACCAAAAAGCCAAATAAAAATCCATAACCTCTTACTGATTTCTTTTGTTTTCCTTTATTACTGTGACATAAGTGTTCTCTGCATCTATTTACTGTTACTCGGGGTCTCAGGCTTGCATATTTCATATGCCCAGATGGCCCACATCACTTTGTGAGGGATGATCTTTCTGTGCTGGCTAGGTATGTGTGCCAGGTCCCATGCATGTTATCACTTATTTATTGCCTCCCTGGTGGCATGCTGTCGCCAACAGGCGTATAATTAGAATAGCTTGGGCTGGAGACCTGTGGAAAGTCTGAGTACTTCTGTAATAGGCCATAAGTGCTGCAAGACTGTGTCTGAATCCTCTATGATTTGTGCTGTTGGAAGCTCAGGTTTCTTCTTTCACTGACGTTCTACTTTTATAAGTAGATGAAATCCTCTCCTTTTGGATCTGTTCTCATTTGTGTTGCCTTATTTGATGATTTGTTATTATAAACAGCCTGATTTTGCTTTCATGGAAACCTCCAGTTGCTTAGACAGAGTAGCAGCTTCTATTGCCCCCTGTGCTCCCACCCTGTACAAAAAGAAAAGTGAAAATAAGAATAGGAGAAAATCATTATCAGAAACAGCTAAGCTAACAGCATAATCTGCAAGTTCTGTGTGTACTGTTATGATATCTGAAACATAATTATCAAGCTTAAGTTAATTAGACTAATGCTTAGAAAATCTGGCATGGCAGATTGTGGTAAGTAATTATATATACCGATTAAAAGATGTAATACATAGTGAGCAAAGGCAAAGGAAAACTCCATTTGATACAGTCAGTGAACACAGACAATTAAGAAGTCAAGGAGATGAGCACTGACAAAAATACTGAACTTTGTAGAAGATGACGGGCAAGATGCCGGTTTTCCAGCAGAACAGATTTTACACAGTATCAGTCAAACACTTTTGTTTTATGAAAACCCGTGCCACTGTTTCCTAACTGAAGTCTGTGAAGGGCCACTTGCTTTTTGCATTTTGATTAGCTGACGTGACTACAAGGTTACGTGCAAACAAGAATGTGACATTAGAATACTAGTTTACATATATAGAGAAGTCTTGTAAATGGCTTTTCTTAAAGGCAATTCACGAGATGTCATATAAGAAATAAAGCTGTTAAGACAATGTCTTCTGCAATTAAATGTAATATAATAATGCTTACGGGTGTGAATGAGGAAAGCTTGGGCACCTTTGTACACATTAGAACATGCACAGGATAAGCCCTGGGAACACAGAATATGCCTCCTGGGAGTTTTGATGTAAGGCTCGCTAAAAAAGGGAAAGGCTTATGGGAGAGAAGAATGGAGTAGTAGGCCTTCTGTAGTAGTTCTGCTACCAAGATACCCTGGCCTGACTTTGAATTGTATCTAAATGAATAAAATGATTTTGCAATTCCACCACGTGATGTGGCAGTACAACCTGTTTTCCCAATTGGCTTCCTCAGGAACAAGTAGAAAACCTGCAAATTCCCAGACTGGCAAACTGACATGATGCAAGCTCATGCTAGGTCTGTTCTCGGGGTATTTGATCTGCACGTATTGGAATGGAGCTTTTGGAAAAATATGCACCTCTTCTCAGTTGAGCCACGAGCTATGTTCATTTCGGCTGGAAATTGCTTTCCTTTCTGTTGATCTCATCATTTCCTAAGGCGTGAACAAAATGAACTGAAAACAAAAAGTTACTTCATCTCTGAAAAGTGGGAGTATTTTGGTTGCTTTTCCCATCTTCGCGTCCTCTCTGCCTTCTACCCTTCCATGTTTACGTGCCCACCTCACCCATGAGGCTCCCAGGAGCAGCGCTCACACCAGTGCTGCATATAAGTTCCAGCGAGTTTTCAAGATGAATATTTCTAAAATGGGTGTGCTCAAAGGTTGGAACATTAATTCTGTCCAAAAGCAATGATACTCAAATCTGCATATTAAATATTGTTATGCAAATGGTATCAGTACAGGATTTCTGTATAGAAACATGGAGGTGTCTGGGAAGATGCAGCACAGGCTGTGGCAACTGATTTTTTACTAGGCAGTTTAATAAGACTTTTCAATGTATTTTCATCAAAAACTCTTTTCTTCTAGTGGAAGCTATCAGCCTTAATTAACTGCACAATGTATCCAGCTAAAATTAATTTTCCCCAAATTCAGTCCGTTCACTGAAATCTATTACAGCATTTTATATTCCCAGGCTATAATGCCATCCCCACTCTTCAGCATGGGGCTCACGTGGGTATAGCTGTGGTCTCCCTCCCCCCAGAAAAAAGAATTTGAACAGAAGGGCCAGCATTGCAGCTTGAAAGAGGAGCAAATATATTCCTCCTCCTCGAATAAAGGCAGCCTGCGCTCCTCCACCCCTTGAAAAAGCCACTGCTATCCCAGGCTCAGCTTCACTAAGAAAAAAACCAAACAACTAGGGGTTCTTGTGTTGCTTCTGTGTTGTGTCCCTTGCCTGTGACTTTTTGTTCTCATTTGATTTAGTGTATGAGTTCAGAGGTTTATGTTGGGGGATGAAGAAGCCTGCCTGGACAGTACTGAGTCATTTCTCACTCTCCTTTCAGTTCCTTTGTTCTGGGTGCCCCATCAGTACAAGGTGCCATGGGAACCTCCTGCACAGCTCATGACTTCTGCATCCATCCCTTGCAAAGGAAAGTCTTTGACCATGGATGACTTAGCTTTGTGAAGTTTGTGTAGTAAGATGAAGTAAACTAGGTTAAAACCCATGTGATACTTCTTAAGGGAACATCCCATTTAAGCTTTGTGGCAGTAGTAACTTGCTTGGAAAACTGGAAGAGGTTATTGACCATCTGATATCTTCAGTTCTGTTCACGTATCTGGGTCTAGTGTCATATACTGCTGTTGCAGTATCAGGACAATGCAAGCCTACACTTGATTTTGTAAGTATTCTAGACAGTAAAGGATACATATATATTTCTTTTTTCCTTTGCTGCCACTTTAAGAAATGAATTTTCAGACTCTGGGGCATTTGCCCTTGACAAAACTTGTCTGGTTCGTGTGGCACTAGGTCAGTGGAATATCAATAGATTCTTAATGCAGTCTGTCTCTCAGAGTTTCTTTCATTCCTCAGAGCAAGAGTGAATGTCATTCATATTGGCAGGTTGTAGTGGGAACATTGAGTTACTAATTTTTAGAAAATACACACAGCTTTTAAGTAGTCTTGGTCTCCATCTTGTGTGTCCTCTGTGTCTATAGCAATTACAAGGTTAGACATCCCTTAAGATGCTAGAAAAGATCATTTTGTTGTCTTTTCTACCCTCTGCCTCAGTGAAATATTCATGGTATGGCTCAGGTATTGGGACTGGGTTTAATGTTTCACTGCATCACCATCTGTTTTGTTGTTGCAGTTGTTGTTGTTGTTCCCCTTGGCAGGGGATGAGGATGCACCGAGGCAGCAGCAAGGGATGCTCCATACGGGTTCAGATCTGATAGAAAGATGAGCACAAATCTGCAGTAACACAGTAGCTCCTCTGATCCAAGTTATTTTTTTTTTTTTTAACATCAAAGTCTTTGTAGTGAAAATCTGCCATTATGCATGTAAATCACCGGTGGTTGACAGGCTCTGTGTTTCCTCAAAGGCTATGAAGCCACATTAAAGTAAGCTTTTATACTATATTATATAAAGTTCATTCATATAACTTAGCACAGGCATTGAAATAACTCTCCTCACTGAGACAAATGGCATTATCCAGTTCTAAGGACGTACTCAGGGTATTGTGGTGGCTCGATGGCAAAGGACAGCCCAGACAAACCAGGAGGGGGACACAGAGCACTGTGGTGGCATTGCCTCAAGTGCCTGAGCCTCTTGGCCATAGCCAACCACAACCACCCCAATGGTGGTGGCACCTCTCTGCCCACCACACCTGGGAACAAACACTTTATTTTAACCATGGAGTTTGGTCCATAAGATTTTGCTCGGATTTTTTCAAATCCTTTTTGATCTTGTTCTTTTTCAGTATTTCCCTCTTATTGCTGTTGATTTAAATGTCATGACATTTTAAACATGACTTATTATAACAAAACAGTATATAAAACAATATACTGCATAATAAATGCAGCCATATTTTTCAGAGTGAATGTTAAATGAGAGCAATTTATTCCTCAACCTATTTTAGTGCCTACTTACTGGATGGTATTGGCCACTTAAATCCCGGGGAGGCAATCTTGGAGGCAAGGTAGCCTTGTGTGTGCCAGGCTGAAAGCTAAAGAAGCATCAGAGGGGTGCCTGGGAGGAAAAGAGTGTCCTGGGGATGGAGCTGCATCCAAGAGAAGGCAGACAGCCCTGTCCTAGGGAAGTCTGCTGGCAGGCAAGGGGTCCCTGAGTGCTCCTGGAAGTACACAAGCAGGCTTTGGAACCGCAGGGGTTTGCCTCCAGTGTGCAGCATGTGTCAGTTCTGACATTTGAAATCTTAAAATCTTCCCGCAGTCAGTGGAGAAAGTGACTCAGAGCACAAGCTACTCCAGGAAACACTGATTGAGTGTTGTTTTTTAATTTCAGAGAGTTGTGGGGCTGGGGAGTGGGGAGGAGAGGCGGGGAGGTTTGCTCAATAGGAGCTGTTGGGTTACGCTCATTCACCTGCCAAGCAGAAATCTGTTCTCTGTTCTGGCCATTGTGAGCTCTTCCTGCAGCTCCCAGAGATGTGAGAAGGAGGGAAGGGCTCCCCAGGAGTTGGGGGCATGCTTGTGTCCCTGCTGTTTGCTGAACCAGCTCTGCGTATGCTGTACGACCTGCAGCTGATTTCTTTTGCGCGGGTGGAAAAATACAAAGAAAAACTGAATCAACCTCCCTAACATAAACGTGTCTTTTTTGGCATGCCATGAATCTTACTGAGTGTGCCTAGGCTATGGCAAATATTTGTTTAAAGTTAAGAGGATTAGCACGGGAAGTTCTGACTTTGAGGCTCCCTGAGCCAAGAGCCAGAATACATCAGGCTGATATGGGCACCCTGAGGTTATCTCCACTGCTGGAATGGGACATGCACATCTCCCTGCAGCTCTGACCTTTGGGGAAAATGCTTTCAGTCAAGTAATACATGCACCTGCATGAAATTTTTGAATCACTGACTCTATCCTTGATTAAAGTGCTTTTTCTTGATTAAAAATAGCCTTTTTCCAAATGAGTAATGTTGCATGGCAAGCTGTGCACACAGTATAATGTTTCCTTCAGCATTACCACAGGTGATGACATTGCCATTTCTTACCCAGGACACTGTGCAAAACATCTTTCTCCTGTAGACAGTTCTCACTAGGAAATGCTTTTAGAACTCTCCCCCCCCATCCCTCTTACCTCATCTTTCCAGGTGTATAACTGGTGACATTATCTGCTACCTGGAAGGATAACGGGCAACTTTTTCTACTTAAAAACGAAGTGAAATTGCAGCCAAACGCATTCGTGGGTTCTTGCCTGGATTCATATCAGACTGCAAACAGCAGTTCTCCAAGTCTTTGGCAGGACTTCTAACCCTTCCTTCAAGTATCTCCTTTGTAATGTACTCTCTTTCCAAGAATTTTATCTTAGATGGAGCCAAACTGGAAGTCCATCAAGATTTCAGCTCTTCAGAGTACAATCTGTGTATTTCTCTGAACAGCAAATGTATTTTCTGTACAGCCATCATTCTGCTTGTGGTTGATTTTTGTCTCTTATCCTTTAAAAAGGAAATTGCTCAGGATACCTTTTCTACTTTTTTTTTTTTTTTGTCTTTTTTTGTTTGTTTGTTTTTTACAGTTGGAAAATTGCCCTTGTAGTGTGTGTAGAGCAAAGCACTAAAGCACATGTGCTCAGGGTTTTTACTTAACCTTTCAGTGTTTCCACAAGATTGCCTTCATTTCAGTGATTTGCTAAAAAGCACGTGGTTACTTGTGTCCATGTGAAGTATGAGGTTCAAGTCTTTCCCCGAAGCAAAACAATACAACTGTAAAATATATATGTATAAAACATAATTACAGCCATTATGACAACAATTCGATAAGTAGAAGTAAACACCCTCTTTAAAATAAGGCTTTGATGAACAGAGATTTCCTATGGAAGGCATGCTTTGCAGGGATAACATCAATAGCTGAGGCAGCAGTGTGTTTCATGAAGTGGCGAGACAACTGTAGAAGGATTTTTCCAGGAGATAGTTTTAAAAATAAATAATAGCCACCAATGCAGGAATTTCCTTAAGTAACTGGTATGTGACACAGCAAGTAACCAATACCCCAAGATCAGAGCTTTGTTTCATGCATGTGCAGATATTGATGTAACAGAACCTTAAGCAAAATCAGCAATGAGAAAGTTAGTTATGTGATTTTTTTATTATTTTTTTTTCCAGTGTTTTTCCAGTATTTTGCAGTGTTACTGGAAAATAAAGCAAGTAAATTACAGCACTCTTGTAGCAGCAACTAAATATGGAGGCAGGCCCAAAGATGCAGAAAGCTCCCAACTGCTGAGGCTGCTCAGGCAGGGAGCAGGGCATGCCCTGGGCTGGAAGCACTGTTGTGCCCGTCATGCTTTCATTTTAGATTGCTAGTTGAGTTGAGATTCAAACCACAACTAACCAAACATATTTGGGATGGAGACAGGAGGCACAGACCAGCAGAGACTTCCCCGCTCCCTTTGGGAAGACAGCATAGGTTGGGGAAAGGGTACAGTGTAGCAGGAGTTGCAGATGATAGCAATGACAGTCACAGTTAATTACATTACGGGGAGAGGTGAAAATGAAGTCTTACCAGGAGGATGTAAGCTAAATAAAAAGAGAAAGAAAGCACTGAGGGAAAAGAGCCAGGACAAGCCCAAGGAGAAAAGGGCAAAGCAAGCTATTCAGAAATTAAGTTAAGCAAAGGCAGAACAAGAGGAAATCAGCACTGAGGTCCTTAATATCACCAAATGACTGAGGAGCCATGGGTGCTGGAGGAAGAGATACGTGCAGCCAACCCTTTCTGCCTCCAGTATCTGGAAATGGGTTGCCAAGGGAAAGAGGAAGTGGGACTTTCCTCTTTCTTACAATTCACACATTAATGTGGTGCTGAAATATTATTGTGCAGATTTCACCCAAATGTGGGATTTCAGTAACAAAATGATGCCCCTTTCGAGAAGTCATGACAGTATCCAAAGGAGTACTGATATTAACAAACAATGCCTGCAGGGTGATGCCTGATATCTGATCCCAACTGCTGGCAAATGTTAGTTCCTTGTTCTGTTTTTCAGCTGTGGGCTTTGTCAGCGTTGTATCATGTAACTGATGGAGCAGTTGGGTTTTGTTGTGTTGAGGAGGTTTGGTGTAATTACTCTCTACCACTGTGAATTTTCTTGTAGTTAAATGTACTGGAAGTTATAAACTCTTAAGTATCAACAGTAAATATTCATGGAGAGTGACAATAGTGTTAATTAGCATAAAAGCCTTTTCCCCCCAATACTTAACAGAGCTAGTACTCTGTTAACATAGGTTGCTTTTCTGCTGATGTTACGACAGAAGTAGAAAACACCAAAATACAGATGTTATTTCAAGCTACAACCAGTCCTGGACCTGGGTTCACCATACAGTGTGAATCCTGGGCTCTGCAGCAAAGGGCGAGAAGCAAAGGTTCCCCAATGTAAATGTGTGATAAAACAATACTGCTTTTCCCTTAAGAATTGCAGTGATAAAAACGTAGACCATTCTCCAGCACTAACAACTTTAATAAAATAACATAAAGCACAGCTGTCAGGTCTGCCAGCATTTCACACTGGGAGACATGAGTGAGAAAATGAACGCTTTTCACAAGCAGAAATATTCAAAGAGCTTCACTGTTTACAAGTAATCAAGACTGACAGTCATAGATTATTGGTGGAAGAACATTTTCTGCTTGAGGTGAAAGAAGAGGATAATTTATCAGGAAGCCCAAGAAGTCAGACATCAGTAATGATCTACTTGAAAAAGGGCATATCTTAGAAACAGTGCATTTATTTGTACTGCAAGGCAAGAAGATGTACTGTTATAAAGGAGAGTCAGTGCTTGAAGAATGTTGAACCAGATACAGTGTAATACTGTTGTAATTGGGGCAGCTGCCATTAGAGAGCTGACTAATGTGCATCTGTGTTTGTCCAGAATATTACATATGCATATACATGCTTTCCCATCCTGTCCTATCTCTTCAGAGGTATCTGAACTGCACTAATCTTGTTGTTTATGTTTTTGCTAATTCTTGCGTTTTTTTACCTGCCCCAGTAGCACAACAATAGGTCTGCATTTGGTTCTAGAGAATTTAGGGCTTCAAGTGTTAGCAACAGCATATTTGTCTGTTAGGTGTGGTGCCTTTGTGTAACCTTTCTTTTATGTTTTTATGTTCCCTCATGTGCCAGCAGTTTTTAAAGTGCTGATTAGCTCGAACCTCTGCAGAAAATGATCTGTAGCTTGTGACTGCCCTGCCCATGTCTTGGTGTGTACCCTGGGCTGCAGTGATGCAAGGCTCCATGTAGGCAAACCCCGCTCCCAGTGCTTCTGCCAAGCCTTGCAGAGGGAAGTGCTGTCCAGATATCAAGAAAAGCTGCTTCCTCCCTACAGCATGGAGGGAGTTGATTATAGTTACATCATGAAGCTCACTTCTGTATAAAACACCACAGCAATTCATTCAATACACTTCTGTTTCTTTGAGCAAGCAACATTAAAATAAAAGCTGAGTTAAATCCCTGCCTTATTAATCTCTGTACAAGTGAGTTGGCTCTTGCCTGAATTTCACTAATGGGATTGCGAGGGAAAAGAGCAGCCAAAGACATCACTAAAAGTTAAGCAAGGAGAGCTTGAGGAGCAGGGGCTGGCTTCCCTCGCCTTCGAGCTGTTGCTGCTATGTCTCCTGCTGACACCAGGTCGAATGAGCAAGACTGCTTTTTCAGAAAACCAGCTCACACCTCAGACAGACAATTGATTTACCACCACTTGGCTCGTCCTAGTTGTCTTGTGAAGTGTGAGCACTCACGGTCAATGGGAAGTATAAGGGGATGTGTGCTACTTCTCCCTTTGCCAGCTTAGCTGTGGTACCCGCGTGCCACATAGGTTCCTACAGTGGCAGAAATGATGTATGTTGACCGTGTGTACAGAGTACCTGCTCCTGGTATGTAAATCTTTCTCCATAATTCTGTAGCATTATTACAAGATGAATTTATGACATACCTAGAGCTAACATAACAATGAAGATTAGTTCTATACTAGTCAAACAGTAATACACTTTAATTTGCCTACAGCTATTGTATCATATTGGCATGAAAGGAAATAGCTTTCTAAAGCAGCTTCATCTGCTGAGCAGAAAGAAATCTGTACTGCAGAATGTAAAACCGCACAGGACTATAGCTGGCAGCAAAATTCAGAATTGGAGAAACACAGCACAAATAAAAGTATGTGTGAGTTGGATATATGCTAACAATCCTAGTTTATTGCTAAACATGCCATATACAGTAATGAAGTTTGCTTGGCAGGTACAATATTGTTTTGTCTTTGTTTCTAACTGCTTCATCTTCTGAACTAAAATTTGCCCAGGATTAAAAGGTGTAAATTCATTTAGCTTCCAGCTTTGTTTGTGGCATTAACAATGAGTTGATATTATAATGTTTTTCAGAAGCATGGAAGCTGTTAATACAATCTGTACCTGTGTCTGTACCCAGAGACACACTAGAAATCTCAATACTTAAGCAATTAACGCAAATGTTTCTCTTGCCTGCTGTTAATGTAGTCTTCCCTTGATAAGTGGCAGAAATTCTTTGAGTGTACATGTGTACAAATAGGCACTTGAGTGCTACCACATAATATGTGCCATAAAATAGGACTCTCTTCTGGAGAAGCAGTAGATGGGTTTGAAATTTTCAGGTCTGCTATAATGTCACTTAATTCTTACTACATATGGGATTTTTTTGAAGGTGTATTATGCAGCTAGATTGAAAAATTAACTGTTTCACAACTTTTGATCTTTTTCCCCATTAAATCACTGATGAAATATAGTGTTCTTAAAAGAATTTTCTTTTCTAAAGTAGGGCTGTACCTCACTTTTAAAGCAAGGGCAAGGAAGGACTAATAACTTGCATGCAGGGAAGTAATGTATCTCTTCTGAAAACTGCTGGTATAAACTGCAGATGGAAACAGCTGCAGTGGGGCCTTGTTATCACAATAGGTCTTTGATGAGAAAGCTAGCCCCATGGGAAGAGGAAAAAGCAGAGAGAAAATTTTACATGAATTACTGACAAGGTGTCCAGGCAGCTTCTTCCTGGACCACTCCACCAGTCTAATGGGCACTTCAAGCTGCCAGAGGGTTTGTTATCCTATTACCTACCAGATTTGCATCAAAGACTCACGAGGTATCTGATCATCAGCGCACAAAGGTGAACTATGTCACTGCCTATTACTCATCCTGGCACCCTGTGTTATCATCATAAATCCTTCAGAGCTAGTTAGCCAGATCTTCTGCTGTTGCAATCCAAAACCAGTAACCTTCACCCTTCATCTTTCTACCTTCATGTCTCTCCATCCCATAAACCCATGGAATACTTTGATAGTTTCAGTCAGATGTGTCTTGCTTGTGACAATAGAACTCCAAAAATATATATATATATATATATATCAACAAGCTATTTTTTTCTTCTTCTCTCAAAAAAAGTTGCAGGGCCATGACAAAGAGGATTCCCCTGACAAGTGGAGGACAGAAGAGGAAATGGCAGCTGAAGCAGCAATTCTGAAGAAGTACTTTCAAGAAAATTAAAGGTAATGGTTTGCATATCAACATACTCCTGCAACACCCAGAACTGTTCAATTCTCTCTTCTTAAGAACACACAAGACTACACAGAATGGAACAGAAGTAATGAGAGCTCTTAGGTTTGTGTTGTTCCAAAATGGACAAAGTGCTCCAACAGTAGCTAAAATAACGTCCTCATCCTTCAGTAAGAGCCAACTTAGAGCTTTTAGTTAC